ACAAATATTGGACAAAAAGTTGAATCAAAACTCCCAGGAAACACCAGGTTGGTAGGATGTGTTCGCTTCCTGCACTTGCCTCACTTGTACAAATGGCTACCAATCTCCTCTCAGTTTTAAAATCAAATATTTAAGCATGCTTAAAGCACGCTTGTGTAGTTATTTACAGTCCTAATAGGTGTTTCATGAAGACCATAATGCGATATTTAGTGAACAAGCGTGTTTTGGAAGGCACAGTTTTTTGGAGCTTGTGAAGTGTTTTCAACAGCGTCCGTAGGTAGCGATGAGTGGTGTGTCCAAAGGAAGTTTGCGCATAACTTGTTCAAACCCTTAGAAAGAATATTCTAAAAACAGCCAGACAAAGTCACAAGGAGCGTTTTAAATACAGGTGAAGAAAAATATTTTTTTTTCTTCAGGAATTGATTGTCAGGACGTTCTGAGCCGAGGTCAGTCTCGGGGAGACGGCATGTACTGGCTAGACCCAGATGGTGGAAGCCATTCAAATACGTTCCTAGCTTACTGTGACATGACGTCATACAATGGAGGATGGACCATGTGTTACACTACTGATGAATACGCCAAACCCAGCACTGAAGTCGAGTATAATGCCTTATTTCCTTATGGAACTGACGGGTACAGGACCAACTGCAACAACATCGGAGTAAGTTGGTGCATACCTTTCGGACATAGTCTAACATAACCAACTTCATTTGATAAAAATCTTTTCAAATTCAGAGAGTATTTTTTAGAGCTGGATCAGGCTGGTTCATAATCTCGTACCTAGATCTTCCAAAAGACAGAGTGACATCTGGGTACGAGATTAGCTGGTTCAGTTAGATTACCTTCCAAAAAAACGCCTTCTGACCTGAGATTGGTTTCCTACATCCGGGTCTAACCAGCACATATCGGCACAAATTATTATGGACAGCAATGACATATACGTACCCAAAAAAGGACTTGGTTTAATATTCCCTTTGGACAAGGTAGAGCAAAGCTCCAACAATTTCCTTCAGTAAGTTTGCTCTATCCAACATTCAACAATCTCTTGTACGATAAGCTTCACGGCAAATTCAGTCCAACTTCCTTTTGTTTGTTTTTGTGACATCGCTTCTTTCATTTTTTGCATGTACTAATAGGTTTGTGTATGAAATTTGCCGTAACCCTCAGTCTAACTCCCAGGAGTAATCTGCGTGTGACTTCTCCTTGTAATGATATCAATACATTGTCCAGCAGACAGGTGATATGAGGCAAATGTGTCAACTTCTCTTGACTAATGTACAAATGGAAATGTATAACACATAACACATGTATAGCTTGAGAGTTAAAGGCTTGAATATTTAAATGGTCAGGCGCTTAGTTACCGTTTAAAAATGAAACTCGGACAAACAAATTGACTTAACATTGGCAATTTCTCACCTGCTTTTCTCTTTTCATTAAAATATCATGTTTGTCAGTCTGACTTTTGTCATTAAAATGACAAAAATGACAAAAGTCAGTCAAATATTGCAATACTCACTCTGACGTCATTTGTGGGCTGTTCTTTTGCATGTCGAGAAATAGTTTTACTTTTTTTTATCCTTCAGGATATTCTCTAAGACATTGTCCATCGTTCCGTCTTTTCCATCAAGTCATTTGTTCTTTTCTCTTCTTGTTTTAGTTTACTGAGATCATTTTCGTTGATCACAAAACTGGAAATAAGGCTTACTTTAAGCAAAAGACCAACCTGACGACCATCAGGGCCGCTGGTAACTATGGGAAGCAAGCTGACACCTATGGATTGTAGATAGGCTTTGGAACCATNAGTCTAACTCCCAGGAGTAATCTGCGTGTGACTTCTCCTTGTAATGATATCAATACATTGTCCAGCAGACAGGTGATATGAGGCAAATGTGTCAACTTCTCTTGACTAATGTACAAATGGAAATGTATAACACATAACACATGTATAGCTTGAGAGTTAAAGGCTTGAATATTTAAATGGTCAGGCGCTTAGTTACCGTTTAAAAATGAAACTCGGACAAACAAATTGACTTAACATTGGCAATTTCTCACCTGCTTTTCTCTTTTCATTAAAATATCATGTTTGTCAGTCTGACTTTTGTCATTAAAATGACAAAAATGACAAAAGTCAGTCAAATATTGCAATACTCACTCTGACGTCATTTGTGGGCTGTTCTTTTGCATGTCGAGAAATAGTTTTACTTTTTTTTATCCTTCAGGATATTCTCTAAGACATTGTCCATCGTTCCGTCTTTTCCATCAAGTCATTTGTTCTTTTCTCTTCTTGTTTTAGTTTACTGAGATCATTTTCGTTGATCACAAAACTGGAAATAAGGCTTACTTTAAGCAAAAGACCAACCTGACGACCATCAGGGCCGCTGGTAACTATGGGAAGCAAGCTGACACCTATGGATTGTAGATAGGCTTTGGAACCATCAATAACCTTTATTCGTACCAGCTGTTGATCTGCGATACTTCTTTCTACACCGGTTTTTTTGTTTCCGGCTACACCAACTGTTACAAGCAGTGTAACCATTGGTGTCTTGATTACAAATCGCCATACTTCCGCACAGCATCTACCAGGTCGCTTTACAAGGGTGTGGCCTTTAATACCAATGGTGCCAGATCTGTCAGCACCCGACTGATGAGTGTTGGTCTGCGTTAGTAATTACTGACTATAATCACACTTGAGCGTTTACTTCTTTCTGCGATTTGCTTCTAAACTACAGAATTTTAGCACTCAACATGGTAAGTGATTTGCAGTTAATGCAATGGTGCCTTCAGGATGTTGGTAAATACGATGATGCCCGAGTTGAAAAGAGTTTTATAGTTGCGTTATGCCTTGTTAGATACGTCACAAAAATAGGAGGTGGAAGTTGAGGGGATTAACCAAGCAGTATTACATGGACAGTGCCCATCTAGATCTTGAAGATGTGATTAGTTATCTGATTACAGTCGACTCCCGATAACTCGAACCCTCGCTAACTCGAACCTCGCGCTAACTCGAACCAAAATCGATTTCTCCTGGATTTCCGTCATACATTCGCTGTAATTTTACCCTCGGTAACTCGAACCCTCGATAACTCAAACTCTCGCTAACTCGAACCAATTTTCGTTTCCCCTCAGGTCATTTTCTATATAATTTTACCCTCGATAACTCTAACCATGTTTTGAGCCCTTAAAAAGTCGAGAAAAAAGCCGTCTACTGGCGTCCAAAAAATTGAATTTTGGATTTCCTATTGACGTGTTGTAGGAGTATAGTTTACTTGTGGAGGCTGATGTTGATTGTCACAGGCTAACGCGAAGCACCTTTTCTTCTCAAAACAGTGAAATGCATGCTCTATTTAGGCTATGTTTTGTTACGTTACGCTCTCAGTTATAATCTAGAAGTGTCTTTTAATTTTCACTTTGCGTTTCTAATATTAAATGTGATTAAAATGTTCACTGTGCAGTAAAAACTGTTTTTTACCTTACTCTCGGCTATTTTCTTCGAACTCCCGATAACTCGAACCTTTTTTGATTTCCCTTGAAGGTTCGAGTTATCGGGAGTCAACTGTTTGTACCTCCCCCTATGTCTACTAGGGGACTAGAAACAAGGATAGTGATAAAGTATCAACTTCGAACAATAAAAATGATTACGTTAATTTCAATGTACGTTTGTATGTACTTCCACTCACGATCGGTCATCTTCGAGTTCAGTTTATTAAGGAAATGTCAGGCTAATATGTCATAAACCTTCCAACTCGTATGCTTGAAGGTCTATGACGTCACGTTATTTACTACCCTTTTAAAACGCTAGATCTGGTCTTCACATTAAGAATTCCAAAAATAATAGTCCTGATTTGTTATATAAGACCATGTTTAGGTAGTGAAACAGTTTCCTGTCGTCTGTTGCAACGAATGGCAAAGATGGACGTGGATTGAAACTTGGAAAAGTTGGGCCAACGTTTTCGAGGTTTCAACTTTAAAATGATATGCCTGCAGAAAACACCAAAAGAGATCGTATATTTTGTTGTCACGCGTTCTCACTCTTGCAGACAATGTCTCACACGTGGTGAAAAATTTAACCTATAACATCCTCAAATCACGTTTTTCTTAAGATATGTAAAGTACAAATGTTAGACGGGAAAGCACTGGAAAAGAGACTTCGCCGAGTGTATGATCCCGGGGTGGACTCCAATAAAAAGTGACGGGGATACTCGTAGGAAAATTAAACTTAAACCCCTAAGGTCTGTAAGGTCGGTGTGGCTCAAGCTTAAACTGACCCCTATAGGAGACTACCAAAAAAGACGTTTAAATAAGACAGAGCTGGAGTGCCAAGGTGTCGTTTTTTTTATAGCTGAGTGGGAAGTGAAGAGGTTCATATCAATAGACCTTATTTATGATCAGGGGCACCCAACGAGGAAATAGTTCAAAACCACTTAACATAGCATTGTTGAACGTATTTTAGTATTCAAACGGTAGATATAGGCATATTTTTGTCCCCTAAAAACTTTTCATCTGTTCGGATTTCCTAGCTGAAAATCTAGTGATCCGAAAATTATAGGGATAAAAACTTACCTTCTCGAAAATTTCAGCCAGGAAAAGGCTCCCGAAAATTCTAGGTGGCCTTTTTTAGCGTCAAAATCCGTTAAAAATGAGTAATTATACCATTTTGTAGATGTTCGAAAATCCTAGGAGAGGCAGGCAAGCAAGAAATTTTACAACAAATGCTCCGAAAATTCTAGATCTCAAATCGTCTTCCGAACAGATATTTTCCCGAAAATTGCCGTTGGGTGCCCCTGTATGATGACGGCCATATTTCCCATATTTGCAAGTATGTTTTAGGGATTAATGGGATGAAACAAAATCATGTATCAGCTATTGCGCCTATTATTCCATGTAGCCTAACGTGTCACAATCATTTAACAACTATGCACAATTATGATGCAACGTGACCAATGATTACTAATCTAAGCAAGCTATGTGCCTCAAAAACATATAACAAGAACGAGAGTAAAGGCGGGAGATAACGATCGAGGCAGTCCGCTAACTAGTCCTCGAGGACGCCTTAGTTACAGTAATAAATTGCTATCGCCACTAGTCAAGCAATGAGTACAAATTATCAGGCTTCGAGGAAGCAGTCCAATATCTGACCTTCCTCGTTAACCTGACTAGAGACTTGAGGGGCTAATCAAATCAAACATGCACACAAGAAGGCAAAAATGGGAAAAAAGGGGCGGGGGGGGGAGTGGAAGTTGTCGATTAGCGTGTAAGGTGTCGGACCTAATGTAAAGCTTAAAACCGTCGGATTTCCAGCGGCCAAGAGCCCGAATTTGGGCATCGGAGAACCCTTTCTCGGCAGCATGCGTCACAGGCAGCTCCTGTTTGAAAGCTATGATCCTTATACCTGCCGGTGTCAAGCCCGCAACCTGAAACAAGCAACAGTGGAGTTCGGTATTAAACTGACCTACCGTTGTTCGGCTTCTATCGCTATGACAAAAACGAGGACCTACTTGGGTGCCCCTGAGTTTGCAATAATCCAACATTGCTTGCACCGGGCAAAACGGCAGAGAATCTTGCCGCTCGATTAGTACAACAAATGGACGTTTGTCCGTGTTGTGTTTAAAGTTTGTGATAGTCATTTTAAACATGTGGATGTTTCCGTCATGCGTGAGAAAGCGCATGTTACTGAGTTGAGCTACCGAATCACCAGAATTTGCGTTCTTGGCCGCCAGCTCAACGATCCTAAAAAAACGGTCAAATGCTATTTAAAACATAGCAGAGAAAAGAGTACCGTGAAAACCAGGCCTAGTCGATCGATAGAAATCGATATCGGAAATTAATCGGTACACTCGATATCAATAGGCTCAATCGATATCAATCGCCGATTGCTATCGATTGATATCGGTAATCGAATACAATCGAACTCACAGAAAAAAATTATCGATTTTTATCGATTGGCAATAATCGATAATTATCGATAACAGTCGATAATCCAAAAGAGTGTTGATTTCAAACATATTACTGAAGACTGGCATTGCTATCTAGTAAACGAATATACGAGAAAGGCGTTTAAGGTTAAGCATTTCATTATCGATTTCATCATCTAGTCAAGGCGGAGTGTTCATCCCACTTCGATATTTATGGAGCCAAAGTGATTATTGCTGTGCTACTGGATATTTTTTTATTTCTTTCTTACTCTGTGATTTATTCTTACGTTTCTTTTTTAATGCGACTAATTGAAATCATAAAAATACTGATTTTGTTGTTTATTCTGCTTCATCTTTCTGGCGTTGCTATAACGAGACTAGCCGAGGGTTGCACACCGCTACTTTTGGCCGCAGCTTCTTCTTCTTCCTGTATTATGAACTGTGCTAAAGCTGAAGATCGATAAAAAGACCAAACGTTCCTGTTATTGTTTTTGTTCCTATAGTATTTTGTTGATGATAGTAAACCTATTGCATGCTATGATGATTGAATGACTCAATAAAACCATACAGACAACATTGTGTCGATGATTAACTTGTAAAACGACAACAATCTTTTCCGATAACAATCGATAATAATCGATAACATTCGATAAATCCATCGTTATCGATAACAATAACAATCGGCTACACAAACAGATTGTGTGGGCTCCCTGTGCCGTTACGTGCTCTTTGTGAACAGCACATTGAACATTTATTTTAAAGCACCGCACTTATGGGAAACCTTCGAGGTCCATTAAAATTATTGTTTAAAACCACGGTTTAAATAAAACTCGGGCTTATGTAAAATTTAGCTTTTTTTACAAGAAAGTGCACTATCATTCGGAAAGTGTTTGACAGTCACATCAAAAAAATTTGCTAGCAAATTTTTGCTAACAAGATCGATCCTGGACATATCTCATTTACAACTAACAACCGTTATTAATACTTGCTTAAAGTGATCTTTGCGTCATAAGTAGAAATGCTGCGCTGATAAGTTTCTAGAATATTTATGTGCACATGCAATCGAATACTTCGAGTCACGCTGTAATTTGGCAAGTCCGTACACAATGAAGCGTTCAAAAGGATTTATATGTTTCTCTTTGATTATTGAACTGTCTCTTCTACACTAATTTAATTCATCCATGGGCTCGCTCCTAGAAGCCTTTGCTTGTCGTCTGGCAGTCTGGCTTCCTGCTTCACCGTATCAAGGGTAATGCCTGCGAAGAAGTCTGAGGGCCGACGTTTTTTTCTTCTGCTTTGGGAACCCCGAGATACTCGCACAAGTTAAGAAAACCTTTTAAATCGGCCTGGCATTTCTCTTCGCTTTCGGCAATAAATAGAAAATCATCATAACAACGTGTGGTTTCTCGGTTGCGCTTTCTAGATTACGAGATTCAAAGGTCTGCCGCTCGCCCACATAAGTGATACGAAAACCGAAAGAAAAACCTGAAATTGAAAAGTATTTTAAGTCAGCAGGGTATCCGGTTAAAAGAAAATTAAGCCTGTCCACCTTTACGGGAGTGGCCGGTTTGCTGTGCAGAATTCGTAGCAACTGGTCCGTCTTTGGGGAAAGTGGCGCGATGTTAATTGTTGGGTGGCGGAGCACTGGCTTGCGGGGTGCTTTGCGCCACATTTGAAACAAACATGGTCGAGTACAACCTGCGGAGTATCTCCCTGCATGAAATGTCCAGCAGGACCCTTTCATATTGAATTA